CTGCAGGCGGCAGGAACCCTGACCATACCCAAAAACCAGTCACAAGGATGTTGCATCCAACGGTGACCCAGAAACACCCAGTCTGACAGTTACCAGTCGGTTGTTTCTCCCCAGGTAAAGTTATCCTAATCACAGGCCACCCATAAACCGTTGGTTGTACCCTTCTATGATTCGATTGTGGTCACCCTCTTGGACGACCGTCGATGTAACGCCATGTGCGCACCGCGCTCGCAAGTATTGATTCTCCTGAGATGTACCTAGACGAAAACTCACACTGTCGAGCTGTGGCCACGTTCTCAGTCGAGACCTAAGGTGTGACTATGTACCTAAACGAAAACTCAACGTCGAGGTGTGGCCACGTTCTCAGTCGAACCTGCGGCCATCCTTTTCAACGAAATTGTGGCCATACTTTTCAACGAAGGTGTGGCCATACTTTTCAACGAAGGTGTGGCCATTCTTTCAGGATCCCCACAGCGGATAGCATAAGTTGCAAGTACACTAGTCTCTAAGTCGACAGAGGTCGCACAAGTTGCAAGATTAACTAGTCTCAAAGTCGACAGTGCAGTTGCAAGTACACTAGTCTCAAAGTCGACAGTGATACCTCATTTGCATAAATGGTGTGGCCAAGATTACCTACTGAGGTGGAAGAGGAAGAGGTGGAAGATCCGATGGAAATTACGGCACATACGAAGACAGGCGAGGAGAATTCAACCGGTAAATTAATCTTTTCTTATTTTTATGTACTGTTACACTTATTTATTTATCCGTAAATGTTACAATATTTCAGGGGGAAAATTACAGGAAGCTAGCACCTGTTCATGAACAAGTCTTGCCAAAAGTTTGCTCAATCATCTTAAGATTTAAGGAAATCTGTAGGTCAAGTCCAACAAATGCAAAACACTTTTTAGCCTGGTAATGCACTGACTACTGTGTATCAGATTAACAGCAAGAATAAGAGATTAAAGATTATTGTACTCTTTTTGCAATTGAATCGCTAATAGCTGAACTTATTTACTTTTTATGCTAATTAATAAGCACTAGTACACTCAACTAGTTTAAAGTAGTCAGTTGTAAGCATTATTAGTTATCGTATATCTTGATCAATTTATTGATTTATTCAGTATTATTTATTACACACTAGCAGAATACCTGTCCTTCGCACGGTGTTGGCATATAAGTTAAAAATGCTTATGGCTTCTAATGTTTTATCGACATTATTTAGCCTTAAAAAAAAAAGTAGCAGTCGCCTATGACTATAAGATTACAGCAGTATAGCTTACAAGACTGTAGATTGTTTATGTAATTTATTGCTGAACAATGTTTGTTCGAGTAAACGTTTCAGTTGGCTATTATTTTAAACGCTACATTGTTTAAAGCGGCGTTTACACTGCCGTATTACCACGTCTGTAAACAGGCGTGGTGGCCACGCCAATGGACAGCCGTACGCAAATGCCGTGACGCCACGGCCCACAAGTAGCCGAGTAGTGTAGACAGTTTTCTGGAAGAAGCCTATTCATTAAAGGTGTGTTCATTTTTATTTAGGGTGCGTTATAGATTGTGCCTACGAATTAATTATTGAAGGTTGTGCTACAATGAGTGTTATTTAAGCTAAGAAATAGAATGACTAAAAGCTGTAGCTTTCAATATTTACATCAAATAAACAAGGTTAACTTTGATACAGTTTAAGCATTCGAATTGTTTGACCTTCCGTTAATTTTAAATATTGCTTTGTTTTCACCGTTTCAATTGATTCATCTAGTGTCAATGTTATATATTTTTTTGTTTTCGCCATGGACTGACTTTAAAGAACAATACTGTAGTTAAACTCGTAGTACACACAACGACGAGACGGAAGACGATAACTCCTTACCACGTCTAGCAACGCCATCAACTGGCGTAGCAACCAAACACGTTTTGGTTAGTTCTAAAAGGCGTGGGGAAAAGGCGTAATTGGGTTGCCAAATGTGGTACGACCAAAGAGTCAACCGACTGACAGCGTAAAAGTTAGGTGCACGGGGTAAAGAGATTACCTCACACTTCCTCCCATAACATGGTGAAATCAGGTCTGTACCCAATAAATCTGAATTCTGGGGCAGTATTGTTTGGCAAGGACATGGGGATAAAGTTAACCAAATGGATGAAGAACGAACAGCAAAAAAGGTCGACAAGTGTGGACTGTTTGTGGATACAAATCATCCATTACTGGGAGCCAGTCCTGGCGGTTTGATGCCATTTGACGGTTGGGAGAGGTGAAATGCCTTAACTCAGTAAAAGAATTAAGTTTTAAGGAAAAGGTTGAAAATAAAAATAAAGATTTTGGTCTCCAGTTAAACGAATGTAGTGAACTGCAGATGAAGAGGAACCATAATTGTTACTAGCGTCCTTGGAGTCCAGGAGGATGTACATGTTCATAGACCTTGGGCATGATAGGTTGCACAGAACTAAACCTCTAGATGAGATGAGTTTGTTCACTGGAAATGACAGCACCTACAATATAAATAAAACTATTTAGTTCTTGAGGCAAAACCGCCTGCCTTGTGTGTGTGTGTGCGTGTGTTTGCACCTAAAAACTCAAGAACCGTTGCACGTATAGCGTTCAAATTTTGCACAAATAATTATGACACCAGTGTAAAGACACTTTTAAAATTCTAGACGATTCCGCTAAGTAGTAAGTTTAATACCTTAAGGCCGGGGACACACAAGGCGGTTTTGTCCGCCAAGGATTATTTGCCGTCGCCGTCGCCGTCGCACCAACAGTGGCGTAAGGAATATATAGAAACGTACACATTGGACGGAAAAATAAACGATCGTTTTTTACCACCGACGGTAGCTGTGCAGCCGCCCACTGCCACTACACCGACGTTTTTGTTTCCGCCTCCGCCAAAACAGTGGCGTACGTGACCTAATGCACGCATCGGTTTATCTGCCGCTGTCCGCTTGACATTACACAACGTTTTTAGAGAGTGCGTATTGCAGTAATTCATTTATATTATACTTTCGAGATTATAGTTTCAACATTGAATTGTCATGGCTGAAGCTGAAGTACTTTTGATAGACAATGAACTGTTAATTCATTTGGTTCTAGAAAGGTCCGTTCTGTGGGATAAGACAGTATATACATTTAAAGACACGAATGCGACAAGGAGTGCATGGCGAGAAATGTGTCTTCAATTCAGAAACGATTATGACGAATTAGAGGACAACATAAAGAATGCAGTTTGTAAGTACCTGTATAAAAATTAATTAAGATAGGCTTAAGGCTCTGGAGGGTGGGAATGTTTCGGCGGGACTTTTACCATAATTTATTGTTTATACCCCCTTTTTTCGAGGCGATAAATTTAAAATTGTATTGTGTGGTCCATGATACATGCAGCATGTATCGTCCTATATATAGGATACAGTGAAAGAAAGGGTTAAGGGACTAAAACCCCCCTTAAACCACACGAATAGGGATTTGGGGGGGGGGGTAACTATGTTCCAGTTGTATCGTCTGACTGCATGTCTGTATACTCTATTTTTCGGGGCGAGAAATTAAATGGAAACATTTAATTTCTCATTTAATTTACCAGGGGCTATGGTTTAGTGAGAATTAATAATAAATTCATTATAGAAAAGTTTTTTATCAAAATTACTTTTGATTTAGGGATGCAAGGGACATTCTAATCCTGCACTTGACAGAGTTAAGACGTGGCTTAGTGATTAGTGATTTTGCCATTAGCGTGATATTACGCCGTGCGAAGTGCTTTAGGTAGTGGAGATCCCTGGAGTATACAGGTAATTCACCGTTTGTTTTAATAGTGTTTACTATTGTAAAGAGTTATTACTTGGCAATTAACCCTCATTTCATCCTTTTAGACATAAAGCTCATGGTAGGGTCTATGTCGGGTGTTCGAACCTGTATAAGTCCGCTTTAGCGTATGCTAGGGCTCCCGTGGGTGGCGATAAAGATTTTAAGGGACAAATATTTAATTTAATATTGTGATTACAATATAGTTTGAGGGTGACAGGGTTTTAGCGAATATTTTGCCGAGATATTGGGTTGGTGTTAAGAACTGCTGCGGGCAAAGTTGAACCCGTCTCGGCAGGTCGTGCAAACACGAGGTCGGGTGGAGCACGCTAAGTATATATCTAAGAAATATTCTAAGTGTGACGAAAACTGCAACATTAATTTGTTTCAAAATTTCGTGGAACGGTCTTTCGTAATTTTTAAATTTAATTTAATTAGCTGTTCCCAGGTGTGAACGATGATGATGGTACAGTAGCGTTGTTGGTTACCGGTACTGAGTTCACACCTGATTCACACTACATTTTTGCGTCCATACAAATCTGTACCTATGCTAGGTTATTGAATTAAATAAATTATTTTTTTATCTGAACCCTGGAAACTTCCCAGCACGCCGACTTGAGCGATCCGCTGGCGAGAGTTGGTGACGTCTTTCCCGCTATAACTACGGAATAGCGTACTATATTCCTTGCGGGAAAAACGGCCCGTTACAACTCTTCAACATCAAACTCTTGCACTCTCTGTTCATATCGAAACAACTACGCTGTTGCGTTTAGACGGCGACGGAGAGTTTACCGTTCTGTGTGTACACTACGGTTTGCCCATGGGCGGCGACGGCAAATAATCCGTGACGGACAAAACCGCCGTGTGTGTCCCCGGCCTTAACGCCGGTTACACACTGGGCGGTTTCTGCCGCGGCGGTAATTTCGCCGTCGCCGCCGTTCGAGCAGTAGTCTATAGACTTAAATGGAAGCTTACACACTGGGCGGCAGGAACGCCGCGCGGCCATATTGCCGTTGGCGGCAGCTGTGCAGCTGTCCACTGCCACTGCAGCGGGCGGTTTTTCTGCCGCCTTCGGGCACGCAGTGGCGTACGTGACCAAATGCATGTTTACACACTTGGCGGTGTTTTTGCCGTAGCCGCCAGTCCCCAGTCCACCTTTGAGCTGGTTCCACAGACGTGTTTTATTTAAGTTGGTCCGTGTTTTCCGTTGAAAATGAGTGAAAGTGAAATGGGTGATGAAAATGATAGTAGTCGGAGTGGATTAATTGACAATGATTTATTAATAACTTTAGTTGAACAAAGGCCAGTGTTGTGGGACAAAACTCTGGACGCGTTTAAGGATCGTGATGCCACCAGAAAGGCATGGTGTGAAGTTTGCAAAGAACTAAGAAGCGATTTTCCTGACTTGGATGACAAAGGGAAAAATTCATATGGTGAGTAAAACTATGTACTATTTATATTTAACATTGTGTTGTTTCCATGAACTAAGAAACAATAAAATATTATAATCTGTCAGTCATATAAAATAATATATAAAAACGTGCCGTTGTATGGAAGGCAGACAAGCTGACTTCATATCTTCGACATCTGCCAGGGAACACTGCCGACACTTGAAACAAAGTATTTGCACATTATGTCCCTCACATTGTTTGCTGATAGACCTCCTCGTGATGTCCTCTCCTCTCGAATGTCTTCCAACCCAGTGATTGACATAGTGTCCCCAATTAAATACCCGTCTCTGTCTCGTACGTAATTGTGAAGAACAACACATGCCTTGACGATATCCGTTGCAAACTCTGGCTGTACATTGATTGGTCTATGGAATATCCGCCACTTGTTGCTAAGTATACCAAATGTACACTCTATATATCTACGTGCTCTGCACAATCTGTAGTTGAATATACGTTTTTCAACAGTTAGATGGGTACCTGCGTATGGTCTTAATAAGTTTCTGTGGAGACCAAAAGCTGCATCAGCAAAAAAAAAAAAAATAAAAAAAATAAGGCACCTTAGGACTTGTAGTTGATGGTAAACATTTCTCATCTGGCATATTTAGTGATTTGTTATCTATTGATCTCCATAACTGAGTCTGTTTAAAAATAGAAGAATCACAATCCTTTCCATAGCTTCCAATATGAACGTACGTAAACCTATATTTGGAATCAGCTATACCCATCAATACAATCGAGTGATAGTCTTTGTAGTTAAAATACATTGACCCACTTTCAAAAGGTGCTACCAAACGGATGTGTTTTCCGTCCACTGCTCCAATACAATGTGGAAAATTTGCTGCTGATTGGAATCCACTGGCTATTTCCTCGAAATATTCTTTTGTAAGCTGTGGCATACATAGTGGTTTCATTACTAGCCATATAGCTAGACACACCTCCTTAACAATCTTTCTTATAGTAGATATTCCCAGTCTGTACGTATAATGCAGATCGGTAAAAGTACATCCTGATGCCAAATACCTGCAAAATAAAACGTAATTAATTTACATAAAATATAGACAGACAGACGCTAAACGTAATTTTCCAATATGGCCGCCAAAATTAAAATTTCAAATGTAAACACCCCACTTTTTATAATTGTTTCTTGGTTAGTATAATAAATTTAGGGGAAAAAAAAAAATATATATATACATAAGTTATATAAGTATTAGAAATTTTGTTTTTTGTTTCAGGAAAGGAGGTTTTAAAGAGATGGAAGAATTTACGTGATTCTTTTGCAAAATCGGAAAAGAAAATGAAAGAATGTAAGGCAAGTGGTAGTAAAGCTACCAAAAAAAGGAAATATATATTCACGAACGAAATGCAATTTCTGAAGAAGGTATACTCTGCAAGGGAGGTAACCGACAGCCACGACAATGAAGAATGCGTCATTGAAGACGGTAAAGATAATGATAAGGACAAAATTGACCCTCCGGCAGCAAGTGAGAAGAGAGCCCCCACCACTAGAAAATATAAAAAAATGGACGAAGTAGATATAAAAATCATACAAGCACTTGATACTCCAAAAGAAAAGCCCAACAGTTCGATGTTATTTTTTGAAAGTCTTCTTCCGATGATCGAAAATTTTAACAGAGACGAACATATTCAACTACAAATTGGTTTTCTAAATGTTATATCAAACATTGCCAAAAACCAAACACAAGTTTTTCCGCACCAAGGCCAGCCAACACCAGTTGTACAACAACCCGCGCCTTACTACCAACAACCTTACAATGTTCCTAGTACTTCACAACTTCATTATTATCAACCTCCTACAGTACCTTATACCACAAGTCAAACGAACCTGTTTCCCATACCACCGACCCCAGTAACAAACTTTCCCCGCACTGCTACTTCCATTCCTGAAGAACGGATCAATGTTCGCCAGTTTGTTGAAAATTTTAGTTCAATGGAAGATAACCCCGAGAGAAGTTCCTCAGCCCACACGGATACGTCATCCCTCGATATGGATTTATATCCAATGTGAACAATATAACAGTACTATGTATTAACAATGTACTTATGTTTGTTTTTTAATAGATTTTCTTGTCTGACTCAGTTGTTTTGTTTCGACTACCTTTGTTGTAAAATATTTTAGTAAATAGAGCATAAATTGGATGTAAAAAAGTAACATTGAAGGTTTTCAGATATTTATTAATTAACAGACAAAAGAAAGATGTAAATAATACAGTTGTGTAATAATTATTATAGGCAGAGCACATAAAATACTACTTACCTTAATGTAACAGCAAGCATTTCCACAGGCTGAACACAATTCCTCAATCGTGTGTTTTCTTTTTGGATGCTGTCTTTCAGGTGATTAAGTAGCTCGTCAAAAGACGTAATGGACATTCGAAAATGATTAAAAAATTTAGTCTCGTCATTCCTCAGGTCTTCAAACAATGTGTAAAACGTTCCACAATCTTTTCTTCTTAGGTTTATCGGATGGATCCAAACACTACGATTTTTCATTCTCCTCTTTCGTCTACGATTGAACAATAACAAAGCCAACAGTTGTTTTCTGTCCATTTTATTACTCAGACTCAACCTACCCCACTATGACCGAGGATGAATAAATACAAATGATATAATTTTGTTCCCATGTAATTCGGTGTTTTGCTGGCTTTTGTTAGTCTATGTTGGTTTAGATTAAAGTTTGATTTTACTCTGAGGTTGTGATCGTGACAGTTTACTCTGAGTTGAGGTGGGTTTGATTTGATAAAGACGATGCTTTCGTAAAGATGAGGATGTTAATGTGAGGATCTCGTTTTTGAAAAAAGAGAGGTTTACAGTGTTCTTCTTGATCAACTTGTTCCAGGGTTCTTATGGTTTTTTTCCTTTGAACTAGGTTAATATGTGTCATTACCGATAACTTTATGTTGACCCAATACCAATTACTGTTTGAATGTAGCCACCAAAAACCCAAAAAAATAATTTTATATATTTGATCTTTTACCTTAGTGAATATTTGCAAGTTTGTTATAATTTAAAGTTTGTAATTAAGTTTTAGGTTTTGCCTTAAATTGGTCCACTACACAGTACATTCATCTCCGTCTTACAACGCATTAAGGTGAGATGTGTAATTGTTATATTATACCACGTTTCAACAAATGATATCACCACACAGTTAGGTTGACGGTTTACTATTCATTTTCTGCAGAAATTTCTAAATTGTTGATGAAATTACATTTTTTTAATTTTTAACTTAAATGTAATGTTAAAAGTAATAATATTTGCTGCTTTTATAGTTTTCATGGTGGTGATTGAATATGTAATTGTTCTAGCTGAGAGCTCAAGTAGGACAACATGGTGGCGAAAAAGGTTCCAAGTGGAATGACACTCACCCCTCCATGGTTTACGGGCCTTTTAGTCAGCCGCGCAAGTGATCTTCATACATGGGTACAGGCTTTTTAGTCAGCCGTGCCAGTGACCTTCATACATGGTTTACGGGCTTTTTAGTCAGCCACGCCAGTGACCATCATTTACACATGCACAAGGAGTAGCTCAAGTCCCTCCAGATTTGAGCGCCTCAATGTACAAACACATTAAAAAACCCTACTCCAGTTGGATCTCAGCCACCATGTCCTTCGCATCGTGTTTCGACTGGGTATTCTCTTCAAACGCGACGAGCCGTCGCCATTTATTGCCAAGACCAGGGTTGTATTTCTTAAGCCGGTGGAGCCAATGAGGAACTTCAACCCATGGATCTAAGGTTACCACCAAGAAAAACAGAATATGCCACCATAAAGGTATGTAGTGATAGTGGAGAGGGGAGCGCAACACATGTGCACCATGTGCTACATGTGTTCAGTGTCCAAGATGACCTTTCTGGTGCTAGTAATTAATGATTTCATTCAAAATTATTCATGGTGCAGGATATGTTCATTTTTTAAATTGAGTGTAGAAGAAGACAACGATAGTGATAGTGATTATGGAGTTGAGATTTTGGTGAGTTTTTTTTTTTAATTTTAAACCCATATGGAAGTGTATCATAATTGCTACTATGTTTCCTCTTTGGTCCAGTAATTTTAAACTGTTTAACTTCATTGATTGTAACTATGTTCCTATCCTTTGTTCGTCTGATTCTATTTTCTATATTTTCTGATTCTAAATTATTCTATTATTAAACATTAGATTAAAAATAATTCTAAATTTAACTAAAAAAATTAAAAACGGCAAACGTATTTAGAATACCTGAATAACGTTAATCATAACATAAATTGGATTTATAATTGAAAACTAAAAATATGTCTTTGATCTTTTGTTCTATGCTAAATTTGTCAAGTATGAACCACACCGATATTTCCCTACCACAACTCTCTATCCAAAGTGGTGGAATGGGAATGTATAAACCACCATCCTATCCTAGTACCAGCACAGTGTTTAGATAACCACTGGTACGTTTTCGAGGTTCAAGAGTAAGCATTCTTTATTGGTAAGTACTTTTTAATTTTTATCTTACTTATGTTTACACCCTTATTAATAAAAAAAGAAAAGATAATATAAAAAAGATAGGCCTAAATTAGATCTTTCAAGAGTAAATCTATATTTATTGATAGAATTATAAAAGACTTTGTTAAAAGTATTGAAAATAAAATTAATCATTTAATTATTCTTATAAAAATTAAAACAAGGTTTAATCCAATAATAGCTAGAGTTTGCAATATTTTGAATAAAGAACACACACTTCTACCACAATTGCATTGTAGATTTGAATCAATTCTTCGACTTTTAAGAAATTTAAATATTAAACTAAAAGATCTCATAAAAATCAAACTTGAATTCAATTTCTCACCTGTTTTCATAAATAAAAGTTTACAATAGAAAACTTCTTGTCTGAGAAATGAACAATTGAAATTTTGTATGTCATATTCCAAATGCTTCCATTTAGGAAAGTAAAGTTGATTAAAGATTCATATTTTTGGTGGCGTTTTTTTAAAACACAACGACATTATTCTCAGACCAAATTTTAGCAATTTTACCACTGCATATTTACAATCTAAACAAATTGAATCTCCTGAGTATTAAGTATTGGTTCATTTAGAGGGAAGCAGCTATTCTTAGGGTTACTTTTTCAATTTCATATTGCAAAAACCGTTGCTGCAACCTATAGATTTAAAACCGAACAAATTGTTACAACAACAAACAGCTTGTAAGGTTAATTCTGGGGTTTTAGTAACATACATAATTTTATCATAAATAAAATTGTAGAGTATTCAAAAGAATTTATTTTAAAATTGTTTCTTTACATATAAAATAAGTTATTAGCGCTTGTTAAACCTTAAAGCACTTGGTAGTACTTAGGTAGCACTTGGTGGTGGCTTCGGCCTTACGAAAGATCTGATTCTCTAACACTATCCCTTTCTCCGTCGCTTAGTCTCACAGACACGCCACTCACACAACTTCTATTAACATCTCCTTCCACGATGTTGTCTCCTATAGATGCTCCCTCTGATGCTCAATCTGAGTCATCGAGTCTTCTAGCTCCCGAGCAAGCTCTCCCCACTGCTTCAGCCCCACCAGCACTTGTCCCTGCATATGCTCCCACTGCCCAGAAGACACCACAGTCACGCAAGCTTGTAAAACACAAGCCTACAATCAAGTACAATATCGCGAATTTGCAAAAAATCGCTCAACCTTCACCATCTTTATTGACGACGAAATCCACTGCGCCCCCCTCCGAACCTAAGCCAGTAGGAACGTTCTTCACTGGACTCAAAGTGAAGTCAAAACTTTATGTCGATAAAGGCTCCGTATTCACAGTCGACGTCCAGCCAGATAAGCGTTTTATAACGTATTATCTCACCTACACGACCTCCGAGAGCCGCGAAGAACACATTTTGTAACTACACGACTAACAAGTTATTTAAACACTCTACTGACATGCAAAGTCCCTAGTGACCTAATCACCCCTCTGGAACAGCTAGCTCCAGCTTTTGACCCACTCAGGCTTAACCTTGAGTTCGTCCCGAGCTTTGCTACTTTCTCCACATCCATCGACTTCGGTCGATCTATTCCAGCCTATGTATATTTTATTATACACAACGTTCTGGCTGAGACGGATGATTTTGACACTGCACAAGACGTCATTAACCGCGTCTACGCCACACCCTTTGCTCAATTTGGACAAACCCTTTGTCCAATTAGTTTTCTCTTCGGTCCCTTATACTGATGGCAACTACATAGTATGTAGCCATAGTAATTGGTTCAGAACTAGCTTTGAAACCGCGCTGATGCCCGTCATCGGTTACGTTTCTAGTGAACGTCCCACCATGTCGCACTACCCCATTGCGATTCCTACTTTTGAAAACTACAACGTTAATCCCTATCTCTACCTAACTGTTGGAACGCGCGCCAACGTTCCAATTATCGTAGAATTCGCTGAAAATATCAGCCAGTACTTTGATACCACTGAGCCGTCCGCACAAAACCTTGGACAACTCTCATCAAAAGTCTCTGGGCTGACTATTCTAAGCCATTCCCTCGAACGAGCAACGCTCCCAAGCTGGCATTCCCTCCCACTAAAACCAGAGGCGAAGCACCAGTACAAGAAGATATCGGATACAACCTACGCTTCAACTGTTAAATTTCTCACATCGGCACCATCTTTCACAGGAGAACTAAAATATCCTACCAAAGCTGATTCGATTCGTAAAGAACTTTATCTAGTGACGCCTACCACCTATGACCCTAAAAAGAGTCCAGTAGACTATGATACATTCAGCACCTCACATCACGTCCTCCCAGACGTTTTCTGGTTCCAACCTTACATCAGGTCAACCAGTCTGCTGAACCATACTATCATTCTAGGACTGAAAATAGAGTCCGAGGAATTTGACGGAATAACAATTCCGCTCCCTAACCCTCGAGCGACTCTCATCGACGAAAATTCGCAGTATCTGCAAGGTACCGTCCCAATTACGTCTCTATAAATAAGGGTTAGAACCAATTTTTGAAAGCAGCACTTTAATGTAGCTGGTGATGTGGATGAATAGTTCACTGATTTGGTCTTCATCTTCAGCCAAAGTTTCAATGTTCAAATCATCTTCACTTGATGTACTTACAATTCGATAAAAATAAGAATCAAAGTCTTCTTTCTTCTTCTGGGTTTCTTGCATGAGAGTCTTTAAGGCTTCGTGTTGCACAACTGTTAATGTTTCTTCTTGTTCAACATGTTGATCCACGATGTTTCTTATTTCGTTGATACGAGTTTTAATAAAAGATGTGAGTCGTGTATGAGTTTCAATTTTAAAATCACTATTTGGAGATGCCATTGTACAAAGATGATGAGATAAATGTAAAAAATTCACAAAGTTTGAATGAGTGGGTTATGAGTTCCAATGTGGAAATAAGAGTTCAAATGGGTAAGGGTTCAGAGGCACAGAAAACAATGGGTAAAATGAGGAAATATTGATCTATGAAGAGTTTTAGTGGCAGAGAGTAAATCCAAATCGCTTAAGTAATATCTTGGATCGAAGGACCAATTAATAATGTGGAGTGTTTGAGTAAATTAATGGAAAATTAAGAGAGAAAAAATAAAAGTCATGTTTACAAGAAGAACAGAAAGGAATAATGTTTATTTATATAATACAATGAATTATCTTTAAATCATCAGCTGTTTTAGTAATTTAAAAATTCTAAACAGGCTAAAGAAAAATTTTAGATATAAGAACTGAACAGCTGTATGTAGTTTATTAAAAAATGATTCTATTAAAAATTTTAATTCTCTAAAAGATTCTTAGAAGTTTCTAAAAGATTCTTCTAAAAGATCATCAAATATTGAATAATGTTAAATTTTTACTCAGGAAAAAAAACAACTCACCAAAAGAAATTATGATTTTTAAATCAATTATTTAATTTTTTCTAGTTCTTCCAGAGGCCAAGTAATGGTTACACTTCTTCTAAACTAAGCTATTAGTAAACATTAGATAAAAATAATTCTAAACTTAAATAAACGGCAAACTTATTAAAAATAGCTTAATAACAATAATCATAATATAAATTTTATTTATAATTGAAAACAAAAAATATGTCTTCGATCTTTTGTTCTATCCCTCTACACAATTTTCTAAATATGTCAAGTATAAACCACACCCATATTCCCCTACCACAACTTTCTATCCAAAGTGGTGGAATGGGAATGTATAAACCACCATCCTATCCTAGTACCAGTACAGTGTTTTTTAAAATTTTAAAAATTACATTCTTATTATTAAAATGTATGTTCGGTATGTTTATACGAAATACACTTGTTAGAGCAATTATAGCACTAACTCAAATCATTGTGTTCTTTGGTGTATTGATGCAAGCCAAAAATACATCACCATGTTCGGAAATTACAGGAACTTATTTGGATACAACGAACCAAAAAACAATCGAAATCGAG